CTTTAAATGTTTATTATAAAAAGGTGATTAATTGTATTTAAAAAATCCTACATTGGTATAGAGTGTGTGTGTGTGTGTGTGTGTGATTTGCATAATTTGCTATTTATACATCTGTTTTTTAAGCTTGAACAAGTTGTTTATCTATCTGAAGTTTTGTCTCACTGCTGGTTGCTTGTTTTGATAAAAAAAAAATGAATAAAAATCGTCCTCGACGTTAAGCGAAATCGAGCAACTTTGTTGTGACCGTGCAGAGCCGATTAAACTCAAGTGGTAATTAAGTGACACGTTCACGAGATATTCCATTAAATTTTTTCCGAAAACCCGCCATCGAGATCCCAAAGTACTTCTCCATAAATAATCTTGCACTGTCATATAAGTAACACACACGCACACACTATAAATATAATCCTACACTGTAAATAATCTTGCGTTGTCATATATAAGTATACATATACTCTGAGCGCGATGACTTTTCTCATCATGAGCGGGTGAAATAAGCAATAACTCCAGTCAAGCTCGAGACCACTAATCGACATCGCAGAAAAGAGGCGACAATAGGATTTACATGCCTTTTTAGGGCTTTCTTTAGGACTATACTTGTTCATTAAAAATAATGCGTCATAATATTAATATTATATAAAGTGCTCCAGATTTGTCTCCGCAACGTTTATGGGAATGTAGAACAGATTGCAGTGAACATAAAAGGTACCGTTTTGCGATATTCACAATAAATCCAAAGATATTATTTAAAGAAGATTGCTGAATGATCACGCGCGATATGGTAGATGGGTTGTAGTGGCGATGTGTGTACATTACATCAAATTAAACAAAAAAATTCTTTCTCATTTTTGCAAATGATCACGTAGACTTTTAGTTTTTAGTGAAAGAAAATTGTTACGTGATTGTGCGCGACAATGCACAAATCTTCTTTTATTAATGTCTAAAAATCTATATGGTCAATGATTAAGTTCTTTTACTCATTGACACGATAGACCAAAGTATTCCATTTTCAGCGGCCATTTATTAGTTTTCTATATCATTTATTACCTAAAAACTACTCTGCACTTGTTCCATTGCATTTAAATTTCATCGGTTCTACACACGATTACAAAGTTGCTCGATTTCGCTCGATACTACATAACGGATATTTTCACTCCTTTTTACAAAAAGAAAAAAAAAACAAAGAAACGAAAACAAAAAACCAAGACATCAAATAGATAAACAACTCGTTCGAAAATAAAACTCGTTCGCTTACAAAAAAACGAATATAAATTGCAAATTCCACCGAGAATGCGGCGAGATAAAAAATTAGTTTACGCGAAGCATCAATTAATGCAACGCTTCGGGCGCGCTCGTATTTTTTTCCGCTGGGTGTCGTTAAACAGCACGCTATTTATAGCGCATTGTATTTGTAGCGCGTGAATCCAAACGGTACATTTATTTTGCCGAGTGCCGAATATACGCGGGTTGCACGCACGTTGCTCCGGAAATCCGACATAAGCGGGTATTAAAAGCCGCGTGTACGCGCGTGCATGCAAATGGAGCTCGAGAGCCGTCGTCTCGAAAGAAAAGTTCCCTCGCGCGACAAACTGACTGGGACATTCTCAGCGTGTAATTACACGTTATCGGCCCACTTAATCACGATTTAATTGGCACATCGGCCCACGACCTGCGCCGTCGTCTCAGCGACGTGAATTTTCAAGTCCTAGTAGGTCACTCCTTTCGACCCTACTTGAAAACGGATATGCCGCGGATTTTACACTCTATTAATCAGTTGCGTGATATACCATACGATTAATATGTTCGATATTAATATGTATATATATATTTTTCTTGTTTAGATATGTAGAACTCACCCCCAAAGTATTGTACAAGCATTTCTGAATCACCTTTATGTATATGTGTTATGGACATTGTGTAAAACTTTATATAAAATACCTAGGCATTATATAAAATATCTAGGCATTTACAAAATACCTGTCAATTTTTATATATAATATCTAAGTGTTGTATACAATATTGGATTTTTTATTTCGCCGGTAAAAAAGATATATATATATATATATATATATATATATATATATATATAATGATTCAGAAATACTTGTATAAATTTTAGAGGTAAGTTCTATTTATATATTTATTACATTTTTATTAATTATTATTTATTATTATATACATTGTGGTTATATATCATTGCAAATGTATTCTGTCAGTTTATGATAAAATTTGATATCTGTGTTTTTGTTATTGAATATAATCCTTCGATTATAATTCATAAATCAAGTATTTCCAGACATGTATACATGACATTCT